TTCCCACGCAAGCATTTCAAAAATCATATGTTGAATGGTTCCCCACCTGGCACGCTAGGCCTTGTGTCCGATAATGGATGGATGAATGGTGAAATTTTTATTTCAGTCTTCAAGCACTTCATTAAATACAGTGGATCATCTTTGGAAAACCCGACCTTGTTGGTTTTCGACAACCACGAAAGCCACTTATCCATTGAAACGATAAATTTGGCAAAAAGTAATGGAGTGATGATAGTGACTTTACCATCTCATTGCATCCATAAGCTGCAACCATTAGATGTAGCAGTTTTAGCTCCATTTAAAGCCCACTACAATGCAGCTGTTGACTCGTGGTTACTTCATCATCCTGCAACTCCCATGACCATTTACGAGGTAGCTAGTTGTGCCGGAAAAGCATACGATCGTGCAATGACACCATCTTAAAAAAGGGTTTGAAACAACTGGTATTTTCCCTTTTGACAGGAACAGATTTTCCGACAACGATTTCATTGCGAGTTCCATAACAGATCGCGAACTTCCCATGCCTGATAATAATCAGACTGAAAATCAACACATAGCTGAAATTCGAGGTGAAGTTACACCCCCTAGAGAGAAACAAATTAATAAGATTGTTACAGTTAACGAAGTTTTTCCATCAACCAGCGCATCAGATAAAATAGCAGAAAACCATTTCACTTCTCCCCAATAATTTAAAGGATACCCAAAGGCAGCTGCAAGAAAGAATAAAAAACCTAGAACAAAGGGACGTAGCTTCATTTCAACTGATATACCCGAAAAAAATATATTGGAAGAAAAAGATCACAAAAAAAGATAAAGCAAGTGAAGTCAAAGCAATCGACATCAAATAATAAAAAACAGATGATAAAGATGAGGAAACTTCAGAGGAAGAAATTGACAGCGATGTTTTAATGGAAGACGAATCTGACGATGATATAGAGAATCGATTTGAGGAACTGGATAAAAAACCAAGTCTAGGTGATTTTGTATTGGTCGAATTTAAGGCAAAAAAACCTATATACTTTCTTGGAAAAGTTATCACTGAGAAAAATCTTACAAATAAACTGGAGATTCGATTTTTGAGAAGGAGTTTGAAAGATGACCAACATTTTATTTTCCCAGTCCTTCCTGATGAATCCTTCATCCCAATATCCGACATAAAAATGATTTTACCTAAGTTTAGGAACAAACGAGAGGCTTCAGTGTACGTACAAATTTGAATTAAACTTTAACGCAATTGATGTACGTTGAATAAATTTGTGGTTTCATTGTGGCCCTACTGCTGTTTCATTGTGCCCCAAATACTGGGGTACAATGAAACTGGCAAAAATGAAAGTATATTTTTTTTAGTCTGAATATAGATTTTTTGCTAAAATTAGGTTAAGATATTTTAATTTTCGTATTAACCAACCACAACGCATAATTATTCTTTTTTAGTTTAAAATAAAGATTTTTTCGTTAAAAGCAGTAATTTTGTTTCACTGTGGCCCACCCTCCCCTTACTGTTTTTTTTTTTAATTTATTCTAGTTCAGTGGCTACCAAGTTAGCAGTGACCGCCTGGAAATATTCTTAACTCCACTGAGTTTACCTTGATACCCTCTGGTGTACTACAGGATCGCAGAGCAAACTGTTACCAAAACTGGCGCCTGAGCAACCCCTATTCGGGAATCACCATCTTATCGCCACACAGGCTCCCTGATTCACTGTAGGTGAACCAGAAGCCTGCCACAATGTGCTTGTCATTTCAGATGGAGCAACTGTCAGTGCTTTTTATTTTCAGTCAATACTGTTTTCAGTATCACTGCAGTACTTTTATTTTTCTATTGCTGGCAGTGGTATTTTTGCAGTCACGTTAACGACATTCTATGACATTGACGTAACGTCGACGTTGCATCGTGTGAACCCTCCGACGTGATTGAATGTATTTCCACGCCGCCCTATGAATGCCGTTGCGTTGCTGTGACTGCAACAAACCTTCGTGAGCACTGACCCTTAAAATGTGAATGTTATTTTAACATCTTGTAAATATGAACCATTTATCACAATATCTGCATTAAATATGTTAAAATACTCGATAGGCATTTCTTACTCAAGTTACGTTAAGAAATATTTTATTAAACTGCGATTGCATGATGCGTCATTTATAAAAGTATTTAAAATACCTGTGTCGTTAAGACATAAAAATATTTGGCCATCTACATTGGCCTGATGTAATGACACGTTGTCAAGATGAAATGTTGGGTCAGTGGGGACAAGATCGGGCTTTTCGTTAAACCTTAGGGACATTTCTCTCATCGTGCAGGACCTATTTAAAAATGTATTTTTCGTTTTTGTTAGTTGTTAGAAATCCCATTTTCAAGGTCATGCATGGAATTGTTAAAGTAATGATGAATATTATTTTATTCTCGGAATTAGTTTTGTATTTAGGCTCCATCTTCAGTTATAACTTTTATATATCCGCACTTCTAATACCCCGCATGCATTTTTATATTGTACATTTTTCTTTTAGTTTCTATATATAAAGATTATTAAAGATAAAATTAAATTAAATCATCAATTCTTGATTTTTGTTAATTTTTCAAGGTTCTGGACCTCGTCCGAGGTGGCAAATTCACCAGATTGTTAAGAAAAATAATATTAACATTTGCAACCAATTTTCAAAACTTTTGCATTTTTTTTGACAAAATTTTGACAAATTTTGGTAAACTAGAGAAAAAGTGCCGTTGATGTACGATCCAAAAATTCGCAAAATGACAACACAGCGATAACGTCGCGCAATGAACAAACAATCGCAACTTCTCTCTAAGCGTCTAGAAAACTGTCTTTGCCTCCGATTTTTCTTTACTTACGCTACTGTCCGCTTGGAACCGCCGTGTGATGGAGATAATATAATCAAACTTTATTTACATAAGCGTTGACCTACTATTTATGTTTACAATGCCTATACAATTTTGTAATAATGTTAGTGACCCCTAGAAAGTTTATCACGACAAAGACCAATTAAAACAACTGAATTTTGGTTTGAAATGTCGTCGACGCTTCGACCTGTAAGTACTGCCTTCGGCATTGTTAAAAAAAATAATTTTAAAAGTAGGTATATAAAGATTCCAGTAACATAGTTAAGGAACTTGAGCGCAACCTCGAATGAACTCACTTTAAAAGATTTTTAAGAAAATACTATTTTTCTATAACAAAAAAAAAACAGTTTCTTTTGCATTTGTTCCACAACAATTTTAATTTTGAAATTAGACAGACTCTAAATTGGTGATTCCTACCTTATCAAGACTGATACCTCTACGGACAAACTCGTGGTAAAAATAAACGAGAAACGATTTGATTTTGGGCGTAAGAACGAAAGACTATTAGAAGTATAAAAACGTTGATTTTTCAGGTTTGTGAAGCATTGGCGTTACTAAGGCCATTCCATATCACCGTTTTTCTAGTAAACATTAAGCCCTTTCTCCTTTTCCGGTTGCCTAGGTAAAACTATTTAGTCCTTGTAGGCCTTGCGCCTGCTCATGCAATAATATTTGGCCTATTTATATCTTAAACCTGTGTATGTAAAAATATTTGGTCCCTTTATTCCTTAAGCCTCCCATATCAAAATATTTTGTTCCTTAAACACTTATACGCCGGTCTATAAACATATTTATTTATTCAATATCCTGAACTGTTATTTCGAGGGTTCAGAGCCAAAATACGATAAGTCAGCGAAAAGTGAAAAATTACTTTTATACATATCAATTACAGTTTTTACTGCTCTTTCTAATAAAGTACTCCCTTCTGTGAAAATCTGTAATATAAGTATTGTTAACTGGTATCCCAAAAAAACCATGCATGAAAAAAGATCAATTTTTGTTCTGGCAAGAATCCTATAAACCACAGGTTGTTTGACTTACTTCGCTCACTTTGAGAATCGGAAATTTTTTACATAGTCCAATCAACGAATGGCCCAAAAGGAGGGTATAGAGTGCGTAAAGAGGGACCTTAGCGATTTGTTCAGAAACTTATTTAGGGTGCTTAGAGAGAGAACGTACTAAAAGTTCTGAACATCTAGCTCGTAAGCCGGAGGTCCCACTTTTGGGATTTTCGCTTACTTCTCCAAAACAGTGCGTCGTAAGGAAAAAGGTTTTCTAAAAACTGGCTTTGCTGAATATGCCAAGGAGTCGTGGAACGACCTCTCTTTAAGCTAGCAGGACCAACTGGGCAGAATCGATTAAAATCTATTACATTATTTAGTACCTATTTTGTACTAATTTGTACCACCAATAAAAATTTTGTACCATGTGCCGTTTTCAAAAAAAAAAACGTGGCGCTGCTAGGTTAATATTAAGCTAGCAGGACCACATTAAAAAAATAAAATAAAAAATAAAACAAAGGTAGAATTAAAACGAACTGAATTTGTACCAATTTGTACCACCATTCAATCTATGTACGGTTTATAAAAAAACACATGGTGCTTCTAGTTTAATATTAAGCTAGCAGGACCACATTAAAAAAATAAAATAAAAAATAAAACAAAAGTAGAATTAAAAAGAACTAAATTTGTACCAATTTGTACCACCAATAACTTTTTCGTACAATATACCGTTTACAAAAAAACACAAGGTGCTTCTGGTTCAATATTAGGCTAGCAGGACCACATTGAAAAATACAAAGGTACAATTAAAAAGGAATGATTTTGTACCAATATGTACCATTAAAAAAACCTAATTTATTTAATCGAACTGCCTGAAACAATTTTCAAATTAATCCAAATCTGTTATAATTAAAAATAAAAAGACTTTTTCCAGAAAAAGCATCTATTGCAATTTTTGCATAAAACACAACATAATTTGTACCGTTAAAATATAAATTTTCAGAATATGCACCCCTGCCATTCCATAGAAACTATCCTAAATTCATATTCCTTTTAAACAGCAAAATCAATCGTTATTTCTGCAATAAAAGTACGTTAAAATGTAAATTGTTAGATTATGCACCCTTGTCGTTCCTATAGAAACTAACCTAAATTCATATTAGGTTCAAGAGTAAAGTACCCTTTTGCACTAGCAGAATCAGTAGTTACTCCTGCAATGAAAGTAACATAATTTGTACCACTAAAATATGAAATTTCAGATTTTGTACCCCTGCCGTTCTTATAGAAACTAACCTAAATTCATATTAGGCTCAAAAGTAAAGTACCCTTTTGCACGAGCAGAATCAATAGATACTACTGCAATGAAAGTAACATAATTTGTACCACTAAAATATGAAATTTCAGATTTTGTACCCCTGCCGTTCCTATAGAAACTAACCTAAATTCATATTAGGCTCAAGAGTAAAGTACCCTTTTGCACGAGCAGTATCAATAGTTACTTTTGCAATGAAAGTAACATAATTTGTACTACTAAAATATGAAATTTCAGATTTTGTACCCCTGTCGTTCCTATAAAAATTAACCTAAATTCATATTAGGCTTAAGAGTAAAGTACCCTTTTGCACGAGCAGAATCAATAGTTACTCCTGCAATGAAAGTAACCTAATTTGTACCACTAAAATATGAAATTTCAGATTTTGTACCCCTGCCGTTCCTATAGAAACTAACCTAAATTCATATTAGGCTCAAGAGTAAAGTACCCTTTTGCACAAGCATAATCATTAGTTACCCCTGCAATGAAAGTAACATAATTTGTACCACTAAAATATAAAATTTCAGATTTTGTATCCCTGCCGTTCCTATAGAAACTAACCTAAATTCATATTAGGCTCAGGAGTAAAGTACCCTTTTGCACGAGCAGAATCAATAGATACTACTGCAATGAAAGTAACATAATTTGTACCACTAAAATATGAAATTTCAGATTTTGTACCCCTGCCGTTCCTATAGAAACTAACCTAAATTCATATTAGGCTCAAGAGTAAAGTACCCTTTTGCACAAGCATAATCATTAGTTACCCCTGCAATGAAAGTAACATAATTTGTACCACTAAAATATAAAATTTCAGATTTTGTATCCCTGCCGTTCCTATAGAAACTAACCTAAATTCATATTAGGCTCAGGAGTAAAGTACCCTTTTGCACGAGCAGAATCAATAGATACTACTGCAATGAAAGTAACATAATTTGTACCACTAAAATATGAAATTTCAGATTTTGTACCCCTGCCGTTCCTATAGAAACTAACCTAAATTCATATTAGGCTCAAGAGTAAAGTACCCTTTTGCACGAGCAGTATCAATAGTTACTTTTGCAATGAAAGTAACATAATTTGTACTACTAAAATATGAAATTTCAGATTTTGTACCCCTGTCGTTCCTATAAAAATTAACCTAAATTCATATTAGGCTCAAGAGTAAAGTACCCTTTTGCACGAGCAGAATCAATAGTTACTCCTGCAATGAAAGTAACCTAATTTGTACCACTAAAATATGAAATTTCAGATTTTGTACCCCTGCCGTTCCTATAGAAACTAACCTAAATTCATATTAGGCTCAAGAGTAAAGTACCCTTTTGCACAAGCATAATCATTAGTTACCCCTGCAATGAAAGTAACATAATTTGTACCACTAAAATATAAAATTTCAGATTTTGTATCCCTGCCGTTCCTATAGAAACTAACCTAAATTCATATTAGGCTCAGGAGTAAAGTACCCTTTTGCACGAGCAGAATCAATAGATACTACTGCAATGAAAGTAACATAATTTGTACCACTAAAATATGAAATTTCAGATTTTGTACCCCTGCCGTTCCTATAGAAACTAACCTAAATTCATATTAGGCTCAAGAGTAAAGTACCCTTTTGCACGAGCAGTATCAATAGTTACTTTTGCAATGAAAGTAACATAATTTGTACTACTAAAATATGAAATTTCAGATTTTGTACCCCTGTCGTTCCTATAAAAATTAACCTAAATTCATATTAGGCTTAAGAGTAAAGTACCCTTTTGCACGAGCAGAATCAATAGTTACTCCTGCAATGAAAGTAACCTAATTTGTACCACTAAAATATGAAATTTCAGATTTTGTACCCCTGCCGTTCCTATAGAAACTAACCTAAATTCATATTAGGCTCAAGAGTAAAGTACCCTTTTGCACAAGCATAATCATTAGTTACCCCTGCAATGAAAGTAACATAATTTGTACCACTAAAATATAAAATTTCAGATTTTGTATCCCTGCCGTTCCTATAGAAACTAACCTAAATTCATATTAGGCTCAGGAGTAAAGTACCCTTTTGCACGAGCAGAATCAATAGATACTACTGCAATGAAAGTAACATAATTTGTACCACTAAAATATGAAATTTCAGATTTTGTACCCCTGCCGTTCCTATAGAAACTAACCTAAATTCATATTAGGCTCAAGAGTAAAGTACCCTTTTGCACGAGCAGTATCAATAGTTACTTTTGCAATGAAAGTAACATAATTTGTACTACTAAAATATGAAATTTCAGATTTTGTACCCCTGTCGTTCCTATAAAAATTAACCTAAATTCATATTAGGCTTAAGAGTAAAGTACCCTTTTGCACGAGCAGAATCAATAGTTACTCCTGCAATGAAAGTAACCTAATTTGTACCACTAAAATATGAAATTTCAGATTTTGTACCCCTGCCGTTCCTATAGAAACTAACCTAAATTCATATTAGGCTCAAGAGTAAAGTACCCTTTTGCACAAGCATAATCATTAGTTACCCCTGCAATGAAAGTAACATAATTTGTACCACTAAAATATAAAATTTCAGATTTTGTATCCCTGCCGTTCCTATAGAAACTAACCTAAATTCATATTAGGCTCAGGAGTAAAGTACCCTTTTGCACGAGCAGAATCAATAGATACTACTGCAATGAAAGTAACATAATTTGTACCACTAAAATATGAAATTTCAGATTTTGTACCCCTGCCGTTCCTATAGAAACTAACCTAAATTCATATTAGGCTCAAGAGTAAAGTACCCTTTTGCACAAGCATAATCATTAGTTACCCCTGCAATGAAAGTAACATAATTTGTACCACTAAAATATAAAATTTCAGATTTTGTATCCCTGCCGTTCCTATAGAAACTAACCTAAATTCATATTAGGCTCAGGAGTAAAGTACCCTTTTGCACGAGCAGAATCAATAGATACTACTGCAATGAAAGTAACATAATTTGTACCACTAAAATATGAAATTTCAGATTTTGTACCCCTGCCGTTCCTATAGAAACTAACCTAAATTCATATTAGGCTCAAGAGTAAAGTACCCTTTTGCACGAGCAGTATCAATAGTTACTTTTGCAATGAAAGTAACATAATTTGTACTACTAAAATATGAAATTTCAGATTTTGTACCCCTGTCGTTCCTATAAAAATTAACCTAAATTCATATTAGGCTCAAGAGTAAAGTACCCTTTTGCACGAGCAGAATCAATAGTTACTCCTGCAATGAAAGTAACCTAATTTGTACCACTAAAATATGAAATTTCAGATTTTGTACCCCTGCCGTTCCTATAGAAACTAACCTAAATTCATATTAGGCTCAAGAGTAAAGTACCCTTTTGCACAAGCATAATCATTAGTTACCCCTGCAATGAAAGTAACATAATTTGTACCACTAAAATATAAAATTTCAGATTTTGTATCCCTGCCGTTCCTATAGAAACTAACCTAAATTCATATTAGGCTCAGGAGTAAAGTACCCTTTTGCACGAGCAGAATCAATAGATACTACTGCAATGAAAGTAACATAATTTGTACCACTAAAATATGAAATTTCAGATTTTGTACCCCTGCCGTTCCTATAGAAACTAACCTAAATTCATATTAGGCTCAAGAGTAAAGTACCCTTTTGCACGAGCAGTATCAATAGTTACTTTTGCAATGAAAGTAACATAATTTGTACTACTAAAATATGAAATTTCAGATTTTGTACCCCTGTCGTTCCTATAAAAATTAACCTAAATTCATATTAGGCTTAAGAGTAAAGTACCCTTTTGCACGAGCAGAATCAATAGTTACTCCTGCAATGAAAGTAACCTAATTTGTACCACTAAAATATGAAATTTCAGATTTTGTACCCTTGCCGTTCCTATAGAAACTAACCTAAATTCATATTAGGCTCAAGAGTAAAGTACCCTTTTGCACAAGCATAATCATTAGTTACCCCTGCAATGAAAGTAACATAATTTGTACCACTAAAATATAAAATTTCAGATTTTGTATCCCTGCCGTTCCTATAGAAACTAACCTAAATTCATATTAGGCTCAGGAGTAAAGTACCCTTTTGCACGAGCAGAATCAATAGATACTACTGCAATGAAAGTAACATAATTTGTACCACTAAAATATGAAATTTCAGATTTTGTACCCCTGCCGTTCCTATAGAAACTAACCTAAATTCATATTAGGCTCAAGAGTAAAGTACCCTTTTGCACGAGCAGTATCAATAGTTACTTTTGCAATGAAAGTAACATAATTTGTACTACTAAAATATGAAATTTCAGATTTTGTACCCCTGTCGTTCCTATAAAAATTAACCTAAATTCATATTAGGCTTAAGAGTAAAGTACCCTTTTGCACGAGCAGAATCAATAGTTACTCCTGCAATGAAAGTAACCTAATTTATACCACTAAAATATGAAATTTCAGATTTTGTACCCCTGCCGTTCCTATAGAAACTAACCTAAATTCATATTAGGCTCAAGAGTAAAGTACCCTTTTGCACAAGCATAATCATTAGTTACCCCTGCAATGAAAGTAACATAATTTGTACCACTAAAATATAAAATTTCAGATTTTGTATCCCTGCCGTTCCTATAGAAACTAACCTAAATTCATATTAGGCTCAGGAGTAAAGTACCCTTTTGCACGAGCAGAATCAATAGATACTACTGCAATGAAAGTAACATAATTTGTACCACTAAAATATGAAATTTCAGATTTTGTACCCCTGCCGTTCCTATAGAAACTAACCTAAATTCATATTAGGCTCAAAAGTTAGTTTCTAACCTAACCTAACCTAGCAGCGCCACGTTTTTTTTTGAAAACGGCACGTGGTACAAAATTTTTATTGGTGGTATAAATTAGTACAAAATAGGTACTAAATAATGTAATAGATTTTAATCGATTCTGCCCAGTTGGTCCTGCTGGCTTAAGGGAGGTCGTGGAACGTTGTATCGGAAATGAAGAATAAGCCAAAGTCAGTGAATAATATTGTTATTAAAAAAGAGGGTAAATTGGTAGAGAACACACATGAGATAGTAACATACTTTAATAATTTTTTTATTAACGCACCTTTAAAATTAGTTGATCAAATAAACCTATCAAGTAAAATAAACAAACCTTTTGGAAAATATTCTAATAAAAAATCAATAATCTTAATACCATTTGCAGAAATTGAATCATTAAAGGACCAGGCAGCCGGCTTATGGAGAAATGGAGAAACGGGGTTCCGGTTAATATGCCTGAATTTTTGGTATGTTGAAGATATCGACTTCCTGAACAATAGTGTCCATGGGCACAACTCAATCCTATGGCCAGTTTTCAACATACAGGGTGATGAATTTGAAAAATGGCAATTTTTTAAAACGTATTAAAATGTAATTTTCTCAATATATTAAGGATTTTTTGCTGTAATAGTATTCTGATAACATCAAATAATATTGCTTTGTGTAGAAAAAGTATTATTTGATACAGAATGATTTAAAAATCACCAAAAAAAATTATTAATGCTGTGTATTCTACTTTACAGTGGGAATATGAAAATATTAATATTTGGTCTAAATTAACTTTAGTTGTACTTATTTTAGGAAGGTATAAAAACATTTTATACAGGGTGAGTCAAAAAGTTGATCGACTCTGCAGGTTACTTTTAATACAATTTTATATATTTTGTAATACAAGTCAGTAGTCGACATTGAACCATTTTCAAGAATATATAATTTATAAATTAAATACAGGGTGATTCAAAAGGTATATAAGGTAGAAAATTACGAAAATTGATTTTTTCTGCGAATCACCCTGTAATTTAATATTTCCTCCGTAAATTTCTCTAATTTTTTCTTATTGTCTTTGATTTGAGTTTGTTAGTCCCCTGTAGAAGTTTTGCGAAGTTACTATGATCAGTTTTTTTATATCGAGTTTGTGATGACAAGCCTGTCACAATGTATACGCTTTTACCTGAGCTCATAAATACGTTTTTATTTTATTTAATCATTCAGGATTTATGTCATTCTAACGTTATTTGTTTAAGGAAATACAAATAGTATGTAACATATAAACAAACAATGTATTAATATTATTAGTAAGCCAAATATCCGAAGATGCAAATATGAGTTCCCCCGTTTAGATTTTGTTCATATCTAGCATAACCCAAAAACCATAATACACTGGCCACATGAGCACATGTTCCTTAAGTTCTAGCTACCGACTTGCAAATACAATAATAGTGAAGTTCTAAAGGTTGATGATCGACATTTTCGTCAATCGTAAAATATATCCACAACATATATTACGAAATCTGGAGTACACTCGGATTCGTATAATGCTCGGATCCTCCACCAACTCGTCAAATTGAAGAATAATAGTTTTTTCTCTTTGAAGTTTATCTTGAATATAACTTTTTGCCAAGTTTACATGATAAATTCCAGTCAGCTGCTTTAAATAGTGTAAATTTAAATGGGGGAACTCATATTTGCATCTTCGGATATTTGGCTTACTAATAATATTAATACATTGTTTATATGTTACATATTATTTGTATTTCCTTAAACAAATAACGTTAGAATGACATAAATCCTGAATGATTAAATAAAATAAAAACATATTTATGAGCTCAGGTATAAGTGCATACATTGTGACAGGCTTGTCATCACAAAGTCGATATAAAAAAACTGATCATAGTAACTTCGCAAAACTTCTACAGTGGACTAACAAACTCAAATCAAAGACAATAAGAAAACATTAGAGAAATTAACGGAGGAAATATTAAATTACAGGGTGATTCGCAGAAAAAATCAAATTTCGTAATTTTTTACCTTATATACCTTTTGAATCACCCTGTATTTAATTTATAAATTATATATTCTTGAAAATGGTTCAATGTCGACTACTGACTTGTATTACAAAATATATAAAATTGTATTAAAAGTAACCTGCAGAGTCGATCAACTTTTTGACTCACCCTGTATAAAATGTTTTTATACCTTCTTAAAATAAGTACAACTAAAGTTAATTCAGATCAAATATTAATATTTTCATATTCCCACTGTAAAGTAGAATACACAGCATCAATAATTGTTTTTGTGATTTTTGAATCACCCTGTATCAAATAATACTTTTTCTACACAAAGCAATAATATTTGATGTTATCAGAATACTATTACAGCAAAAAATCCTTAATATATTGAGAAAATTACAGTTTAATACGTTGTAAAAAATTTCCATTTTTCAAATTCATCACCCTGTATGTTGAAAACTGGCCATAGGATTGAGTTGTGCCCATGGACACTATTGTTCAGGAAGTCGATATCTTTAACATACCAAAAATTCAGGCATATTAACCGGAACCCATTTCTCCATAAGCCGGCTGCTTGGTCCTTTATTAAATAAAAAATAAAAAAATAAAAAATCATCAGGTGCAGACGATGTGCCCAGTTATATTATAAAAAAGTCACTCGAGGATATTCTAGCCCCGCTGACATATTTAGTAAACTTGTCATTCGAATCCGGTACATTTCCTGCCAAACTACTTACAGGTAAAGTGTTGCCATTATACAAAAAAAAAATTATTCGATGTCATTGGAAAATTATAGGCCTGTAACAGTCCCCTATGGATTATCTAAGATATTCGAATATGCATTTCTAGATCGCCTTTTATCATTTTTAAAACGACATCAAATTGTCACAAAAAATCAACATGGATTTTGCGCAGAAAAGTCAACAACAACAGCTATGATCTCATTTTATAATCAGATTATTGAACATATTGAAGCAGCCGAGTGCCCTGTGGGGATATTCTGTGATTTAAGTAGGGCATTCGACTGCGTGATTCATGAATTATTATTATCTGTACTGGAGACATATGGAATTAGAGGAAATTCTTTAAAATGGATCTCCACCTTTCTTAAAGAACGACAGCAATATGTATCTCTAAACTTTAAAATAGATAACAAAACTAAAGAAATTAACTCTAATCTTTTAGATACACATATGGGAGTACCACAAGGGTTAATATTGCGGCTAATATTGTTTATTTTATATGTCAACAGTGTAGACCATTTAATAGGTAATAATCATTATGTTGCATACGCTGACGACTTTTCTGTGATAGTATCATCAAATAACAGCGATGAGTTCTTCTCTTTTACAAAAAATTTCTAATCATTTTAATAGTTTAGATTTGTTTTTTAACACTAATAAAACAGACCTTATTAGGTTTCATAACAGGCAGAATATTCTAGATGATTTTAGCGTTTATGTGGGTAATTCCAGTATTGATAGTACACGCGAAAGCGTTCGTTTTCTTGGGATTCATATTGATGAATTTCTTAATTGGAAGTATCACTGCAGTAAACTTATTGGAAAAATGAATTCGCTAAAATATCTTTTTAATAATTTACGAGAGGTGCTGCAATCTCATCAACTTGTTAGTGTTTACTTTGCTCAAATCGACAGATGCTTCTAATGTTAACCCAAACTCTCAATGTGAAAAGAGGATATTTACTTTTATATTCCTCGTTGACGGTGAATTGACAGCTGTCAACGGTCAATTTGTCCAATCTGACATGAGGGTTGAATCCAGTGACCTCAAAAACATTACCTTATATATTAGAATAATTAAAATATGCTTTTAACATATGTAAATAGTATTAAAATTGAATAGTTTTGCAACGGATCAGGGGATCTTTGGCAGCTCCGTAGCTGCCAAACTATTAATTTTGGCACTTTGTGCCCATGAAGACTTTTGTTCAGGATGATAAAATCTACAACATATCAAAAATTCAGACAATTTGACAGAAACCTAATTTCCATAAGATTATTGCGGGGTCCTTTAAATACTATAATATTCTCAGAAAATCTCGATGTATTAAAATGTATATATCAACATATTCAGAGATGCAAATATAATTTATAAAATAATATAGAAATGCATTGGGTGGAGCAAGTGACTTGTTGCCGTAATTACTCGGGCTTGGTCGTTTCTCCACTTAAAGCATCTCCATCCTAAATAAAAACTAACAGTTTAACATATTAGAAATAAGCAAAAATTGTATGAACAATTAAAAAAAACCTTATGTTCTCTTAAGTTGAAAAAATTAAAAAAAATAAAATAAAAAAACAAAAAAAAATAAAAAAACAAAAACAAAAGAATAGTAACAACAAAAAAAAAAACGAAAAAATAACAACAAAAAAAACAAAAACAAAAGGAAAAATATATAACAAAAAAAAAAATATAACACACAAAAAAAAGAATAACAGAAACGAACGACTAACAAATACTAACAGTGGATTGTGGATTTGTAATTGTTTGTATCCAAACAATGTAAATTAGTCTGGCCAGTTGGCAATGCCAAGGCCATAAATTTTAAATAAAAAAAAATCTTTAAAAACAAAAGTTGTTTTATCACTAATAGAGATGTTCATAGTTATCAAACAAGACAAGTTGATGCAGTGCACGTTCCTTATGCAAGGTTGCACATTAGTTCCAACGCACCAAATTTGCTGGGTCCAAAATTGTTTAATAAACTCCCAATTGAAATAAAAAAATGTGCAAATAATAATATTTTTAAAAATAATTTGAAAATGTATCTCCTGGAAAAATGTTTTTATTCCATAGCTGAATTTTTATATTTTTAGTATTTTAATCTGTTTAGAATTATAGCGTGATTGTAATTAGTATTTTTAATTTTATTTTATGTATTTATTTAGATTTAACCTTGTGTTTTATTTACTGCTATCCTTTATTATTTTTTGTTATCTCGT